ATCATATTATATAAATTAAATTATCATTCATATTTTGTATCAAAAAATAAAAATAAAAATACCAAAATTTATAATTTTTCATTCTCTACAAATAGAGACCACATTTGATACTTTTGGAACACAATTAATTTATCATTTTTTACAATTAATTTATCTTATTGGGAGATTATGACGCAAATCTATAATTAGATGAATATGTTACATAGTAAGATGAACATGTTATAGAGTAAGATGAACATGTCATAGAATAAGATGAAAATGTTTCATTTTCACAGATGAAATTTCAATGAACATGTTATAAAATAAGATGAACATGTTACATAATAAAATGAACATGTTATAAAATAAGATGAACATGTTACATAATAAAATGAACATGTTATAGAATAAGATGAACATGTTTAGATTCCACATCTACATCACGGGCTCTAACATTATTTTCTCCCATTTCCACTTCATACACAAAAATCTGGCAATTTCTCGCTCAACTTTCACTTGTTTAATGCAAGCATCACCGCCCTGAAATAATAAACCATAATCTACGGTTAAGAACTCAAATTTATGTAATAGTCATACTATAGGGAATGAAAGTGAAAAACTAGTAGAGTGTAAAAGAAATTCCATAAATTAGTCTTTCGATCGAATATCCTCCACCTTCACAAACCAAAATCTAATAAGATGAAAATGTCACATTTTCACAGATGAAATTTAGATGAACATGTTATAGAATAAGATGAACATGTTACATAATAAAATGAACATGTTATAGAATAAGATGAACATGTTACATAATAAAATGAACATGTTATAGAATAAGATGAATACGTTACATAATAAAATGAACATGTTATAGAATAAGATGAACATATTACATACACAATAAGGTGAACATATTATAAAACAAAAAATTAGTCGTGTTCCAAAACCTATCTAATGTGGTCTCTATTTATAGATAATGAAAAATTATGAATTTTGGTATTTTATTTTATTTTTTTAATATAAATAATTAATGATATTTTAATTTATGTAATATGTCTCATTTTTCAATTAAAAAGAAAAATAGGGGATGTGCACTACACTCTCTTAATTTCTCTAGTTTTGAGGAGTGAGGGGCGCGTGCTAATGTCTAGGTCTGCCAGGGCACACGGTAGTGCTACTGTTTCTTTTCTCTCAAATTCGAGCAGATCCGAAAAATTCAACCCTCGGCCCTTCTCCTCCAAGTTGATTGAAAAATCCCAGCTCCCTCGCAGCACCGTCGCGGCCTTCAATCGCTCGCCGGAGAACATCCATAGCAGCACGTGAGACGGGAGTTTCAAACATCCGAGCCCTGTTCGAATTTTCGATCGCGTCGAGAAATTCCAATCAATCATCGGCGGCTTATCTCAGCCGTGAATGGCATCGGAGAAGAGAACTGTGAAACCTCTGTACGCACGTTCGAGCAGGTCCAGAAAAGCCACCATCTCCAATTCGAACGGTGAGAAGAAGCAGTTCGAGGACACCTGTTCATCGTCGAGCGGTCTTTCGAGTCACTCGGGATAGCAACCGAGAACCAAGGCGAGTGCTTGTTCACGACCGTTCAGTTGTCAAGAACCGTGCTCTCGCACTGAGCAGAGACGAGCCACCAATGGTGAGGTCGAACCCATCTCCGGGAGGGCCAGTACACAGCCGAGAAGTACCGAGAACCAGCGCAGTTGAAGCCCCATTTTTTCGACAAACTGGGAGCAAACGAGCGGCGACCGAGTGTTTGAGAAGTTGTCGATGGGAGAGAGTCGGGCTGAAGAGCCATCAGACCCTTTTATTTGGTACTGCGAGCATGCACCCTGAACTTGTTCAACGAAATGCTTCAACGAGCAGGCCGACTGTTTCTGAGAGTAGGCCGAGGGTTGCCGTCGATGAACGAATAAGCAATCGATGGCCACAGGGCTTCCAGCGGACTATCGAACCGATCAAGTGACACCCGGGCTGAGAGCAGCAACGAGCCGAGTCGAGCCATCCCTGAGAGCCGAGAACTAGCCGAGAGCTTAGAGAGCCGAGAACTAGCCGAAAGCTAGGAGAGCCGAGAACTAGCTGAGAGCTTTAGTCGTAACAGAACCTATTCTTCCTGTTTCTAGTCCTCAGGAAGGTAGATGGCTGAACTCTTATGGCTTTATATGGATTGAGTTTATTTGGTTTTGAACCTTAGTTGCTGTGTTGATTAGAAAAGATGCAAACATGGATGTTATGTGTTTTGTCTGGTTTATCTTTGAGCATGAGAAAGTATGCTTGTTTGCTTGGTGCCTTGTGGGGTGTTAAAGAGCTTGCGGAGCCTTGATTTTTATGATTGGTTTACTAAAGTTTGGTGTATAATTCAAAGATTAAATGTTCATGAAAAAGCATGCTTATCTCTGTCAAAGGTTGAAGGGAATTTTAGCATTATATGGTGTGGTTTTTTAATTCGATTTTGAACCTTATGTATTGCCATGTAGCTGCACTTTGTGTAAGGTTTTTAGCTGCTAAAAATGAATATTATAAGTTAATGAAAAGATGATCGTTTTATGTACTTCTGCTTTGAATTAGTGAATTCTGCCGAGCCGTGTATCATATCTTATTCATGCTACAAATTGTGTACAATACCAGTTAAGAATAAATAAGTATGCATACCTCAGAGAAATTTTTTTAGACCTCTGTAATGAGAATTGGAATTCTGAATGAGGTGGTTTATGTAGTCTTGTCTGTTTCGGGTTGAATATATATTTGCATGATTAGTAAATGGAGATAGAGTTAATCATTAATAATGAGTGTATTTAGATGCATGATTGTTCTCTGTGCATGAACTTTTGTGCCACTAAATTTTTGTTTTCAGCATATTATGTGTATCATTGATATATATATATATATATATATATATATATATATATATGTTGTGAGTGTATATATCTTTAGGGTTTTAAGTTCAGTTTAGAGATTTTTAAAAGTTCAATACATATGTGGCTTTTGTGTTACATTGATTTGTGAAAGAAATAAGTTGAGATCATGTGACGTTTGAACCTTGCTTTTGCCTTATTTGTTGACGTACTTTTTATGTGAATTTATTTGCTTAATTTGTCCGAATTATATGCTTGAACTATATGCTTTTATCTGCCTTAATTTCTTGTCTTATGTGTTGTTAGCAATTATTTGTGTTTTTAATTTCGTGACTTAATCAACCTCAATCAAAACCAATAATAATAATTAAATCCTAATTTGTAGATTAAGAGGAGTATAGTGCTTGCCCTTGTTTGTGCGTGTATTCACCGTCGTCCTCTGCAGTACCAGGTGGGTTTTTATTTAAAATGTTATGTCGTAAATGTTATTTATGTTTTTGTTGAAATTGGTATGATCAAATGCATGTGAACCATGTAGCCTATCGGTGTGAGTTGTTACGGCCGTCGGTACAGTTGTCCCTGTCGATGTAATACGGTGCCCTTGTGTGGCAATCTCCTTAAGACCTAATGAAAGGCCATATCGGACTAAGTCACATGGCGTATCTTCGATATACGTGTCGAACTAAGTCACATGGCGTGCTTTCGACATGTACTCCTACTGTCTGGTTGACGAGCTAAGTCACATGGCGTGCCCTCGAACAGGCCAGCGGTAGTCTAATGATAGGTGTGTACACATGAGCAATGAAATTGGTGTCCGTGATTGGAGATGTGACATGTTGATTGATTTATGTACATGCTGAGACCATACCTTTCGAGTATTGATTATTGTTCATTATTAAGACTGACGTTTACTGCATAGTGGTGAGCACTACTGTTCCTCTTGTGCTCATCCCCACCTGCTCTTCATTGATGCAGGTTACTATTGCAGGCACGACAGAGGGAGGCGAGTGGTGGTCTATAATTGAATGTTGCTTCCGCCTATTGAAATGTCTTATGATATTATTGCATTTTGGAATAATGGATATTGGATTATTGAGATTTGAATTATTGTTAAGGAGATTCTTCTTATTTCCTTTTGAGGATTTATGATTGTTTAAATGAGGAATGATGATTGACGATTGAGAATCGCAATTAATGTTGATTATTGGAAATCGCTCTTGAAAATGAGTAACGCCTCAATTAGTAATGAAATAAATGTTGAAAAATATATTCTGAATTTCGTCAAATAAAAGTGCGGCGTTACAGGATTAGTCCAAATTGAAATAAAACCCCTTGCTAAAGAAGGTTTAAACACTTCCATTCTTGCGGTTTTGAGAGACGCAAGATTTACCGATTTTGAAGATTCTCTATTAAGTTCAATAGAATCCAGTTTATGTTCTGGACCTATTTCTTTTGATTGTTATCCAAATATAACGGTTTCATTAAAACATAAAAATATTTTAAATCTTTAATATAACAAATAAAAATATGTAATTACAAAATTCTTGAAGGATCAATTCCTGTAGCAATCATCTACAGAGTTCATTATAAAGCTATGAGTTCAGCCTTTTCATCTAAGGTTCGGCTCCATAGTGTAAAAGGAGAAACCTTTTACTACAAACAGATCTTTCACGTGCCAATACAGTAATTCTAAAGTCTATTAAATGGAAGGATGTTACACTTCCTGAAGAATGGATCCTGGAAGGAGCCACCTGGCCAGAATCAGAAATTCCTCCTAAACCTAACATCAATCTACGGTCAGTCACTCAATATCGTGACGGACAGGTCGCACTTTCTTTCGATAGAATATATGAATTAAGGTACCCCAAGAGTCCTTCTAATGATGATATAATTGATTTAGGTAGAGTTTCTCAAATTCCTTCTGTCATAAATACTCCAACTAAACACAGATTTTCTACATCTGATATACCATCTTCATCTTTTCAAAATGTAGATTACTCTACGGATATCCCTAGCCCGTCTATAAAAATCCTAGAAAGATAGATGTTGATAGTGAACCTACGAGTCAAAGATTCTCTTCTATAACAGAAAACATCGTGAATGAATTAAATGTTCTAGAAAAGGAATTCACTATTGATAGAAAATACTTTCATGATGATTTTTATGTTGAATATAACCTAAAGAAAAGGTTATGGTTCTTCAAAACTTTTTTGATGATCGAAAAAATATTCAAGAAAAGTTTTATTCATTTGTCAGTGAACACAGAGTCTGCATACTATTTTTTGATTGGTTCAGAATATATGCTTCAGAAAATTCAATTGATTTTCCTTTCAAAAAATCAAGATCTGTCAAAAAGAAAAAACATAAAAAGGATTCTAAGAAAAATCATTCAAATCCTCTTTGCAAAGAAACAAAACTTTCTGATCAAAATCAAATTACCATCCCTACAAATTCTTCAAAAGACGATGATAACTCTCTTTCCAAATTTTGTAAGAACCCTCGTAAATCAGTCGGTTTTATAAAAACAATTCAAGACTAAGTTAGTAATATAACCAATTCATCTCACTTGGTGACACCTAAATCCGAAATTACTTTTGGTAATAAAATCAATATTACTAGTAATGATTTAAGTATAGATGATGCCTTAAATCAATTCCAACAAGTGAATAGGTAAGTTGGTCTTATAAAAAAAAATTCAGGATCAACCTTGTGAAATTACCAACCCTACTCAATTAGTAGTACCTTATATTCCCCAACCTAATATTACTTGTAATAATATGATTATGTATATATGTTCGATTTTGTATTTCCGAGGACGGAAATTTTTTAAGGAGGGCAAATTGTAATAGCCCATTATGTTATTAATATAAAGGATATGGTTAGTTCCGAATTATTTATTTATATCGATCGTTAGCATTCGGGACTAATTGTTCCAAGTTAAGAGTATTCGGATTAACTTTCAAAACCAAATCTTGACCGAAATCATTTAAGTTCATGTACTAGGAATTATCATGTGTTTAATCATGTCTTGATTGTACGCCAATCAAGCTCATTACCGCACGTCATTAGCAATTTAGACGGTCATGCTTGGCTTAGAAAGTCAATCGTCCTTAACTAAGCATCAAGCGTGCTTAGTCCGAGCTTAGTGCACCATTAAGCCTTAAGCCATGTCAATTGCCGAAAGTCATGTGGAGCAAAGTCATTCTTGACTCATCATCATTACTAAGACATGTGGAGGCTTATAAGAGTAGTGACTAAGCATATAACTTACCCCAAGGTTTCCGTGACCTAAACATAAGTGACGACGGGTCGACCGATCCGTCTCAACACATGAGGAGTTTCGAGAACATGGTGGTGCTCCATCGTTATAACGATCCAGTGCAGTGTCGAGCCTTCTTGACAACCTCGAGGGGCTCTTCCCAGAATTGTTTCCATCAGCTACCTCTGGGGGCCATCAAGGATTTCGATGGATTCAGTTCAAGTTTTCTCAATCAATTTTCAAGTGTTAGACCACAGGAGAAGTCATATCTAACTTTGATGGGCATACAACAGAAAGAAGGTGAGTCACTACGAGATTATGTGGCGAGATACACGCGGGCATGCATCGAGGTGCCCAGGGCATCGGAAGAGATAAAGGCGGGAGGTTTGACTCGAGGGCTACTACCAGGCTTGTGTAGGAATTCTTTGGCAAAACGCCAAGGTAGAACATTCGATGAAGTGCTGGGGAGATGTGCGAAATACATGAATGTCGAGGAAGTAGAAGCTGACTTCTTAGAAACGACTAAAGTAATCAAAACGGACTCTCGGGACGAGAGGAGGGAAAGGAAGAATCCATCGACTGGGGAGAGAAAGGGGTCCCCGCGAACGGAAAGAGAAGGGCGACCTAGGAATTGGAGGCCTACTCAGTACACCCCTCTGGAAGCTCCCCAAGCCAGGATTCTCGAGGTCATGGAAAGGGAGATTCGTGACATTGTGGTGAGATGGCCCAAAACGAAGAATGACGGACCGACAAAACCTAAAAGCAACCTATACTGTCGATTTCACAAAGATTATGGGCATAATACTGACGATTGTAGACACCTCAAAGACGAGATAGAGAGGTTGATAAAAGCGGGCCATTTGAAAGAATTAATATGCAAGGATCGCGAGAGGACGGGCCGAAAGAGAGAGAGGAGCAAGAGCCCTCGTAAGAGGGCGAGGTCACCCGAGAAGGAGGAGCTTCCCCCGAAAAGGGGAGTAATTCATATGATTTTCGGTGGGCCAACTGATGGAGACTCGAATTGAGCAAGAAAGGCATATGCCCGAGGGAGACACTCTAAAGTCGAGGTACAACAAGTCGATGAGTGAGGCCCAGTGATGAATTTTGGGCCAGCAGACGTGGGAGAGGTCGAAAGGCCTCACAATGATGCCTTGATGATAACCGTCCAAGTATCGGGCTACGAAGGACAAAGAATCTGTAATACCCTGTTTGAATAAGGACAATTTGATATTATTATTTATTATCTTTATTATTATTATTATTATTATTATTATTATTATTATTATTATTATTATTATTATTATTATTATTATTATTATTATTATTACTATGTTTTTATTTGTCTAATTGCCTAAATATTATATTTAATTAAAATGTGCCTAATTGTGTATTTTTAATACAATAATAAAATATGATATATAAATATTTTTAGTCCAATTTTTATTCTATTAATTGTGCGATGAATCGAGCCCGAGAATTTATTCTAAGTGTTGAATAAGGCCCGTGAGCCTCGAACCCGTACTCGCCCGCGCCCTTAGCCCATACCCGGTCCGACCCATTCTCTTTACTTGGATGGGAAGATTTCAATTGTAACCTAATGCTATAAAAGGGTTTGAATCCTCCCACCAGCTGGTTAAAACCCATCGTGCGTAGACCCTAAGCTTATTATATCATCCCCACAACTTTTTTTTTTTTCTGTTCCTCAAGCTCTCGACTATCAGCAGCAGAAAAGAGAAGCGTTCTCTCACTTTTTTTTCCTCACCATCATTCTCATATCATCATCATCTTCCGTTCCTTCTCTCTCTCTCTCTCTCTCTCTCTCTCTCTCTCTCTCTCTCTCTCTCTCT